CTTTATCTGGCAGCACTTGCCCCCTAAACAATCGCTTGCAATCATCACAGTAGTTTTTGCTCACAAGATAGCACAAATGTAACGGGGCACGCCTTGTGTCAATTCGACACAAGTTTGTGTGCACCCGACGTCACGTACACGTGGCGCGAGGAAGAGCATCGAAGTGGGCAGAACTTAAAAGATCTGTCGAAGGAAAGAAGTAGAACTGTATTCAATATTGTTATGTTTCTTGATAAACCATCTGCGATCTTGAGCTAACTATATTAAACTACAATCTCCTATGTGGTTTTCTTGCTCACCACCCATTGAGCGCGTCCAGCAGCGATTGGTGGTTAATCTGGTTGATGTACCGTGAACATCAACCATCAGGTGGATAAACCCATCAAAGAAATATTACTGTCGGGGGTAAGAGTCCCTAAACCATAATCCTTACGGGTAATGTCAATTGAACATTATATAAATAGACAATGTCCAAAAATTGATACAAAGATATCTATTATTATGTAACGGGCTCACCCCGTTACAACAGGTCCGTGGGCTATGGAAACTTGGCAATTCTGTAGTCTATATTGACGGAAACGGCTGAATTGGCACAAATTTACCATAGGCTGAAGTCTCCATGGTCTACCTTTTAAAATAACTTTGTAATTATACTAGCATGAGGCGGAACAGATAAATCGGATAAAATCACCCACAAGACACATAATAAATGTTTTGACTCCTGTTTGATCGTAGGTCGGTTATAAGCGTAATAAGGCTAAAACGTATGGTGTGTACTGAGTGTAAGCGTGTGTATAACTAGCTGCTTAAAAACATTTATTACGCAAGTTACTACTCTTTATTTAGCACGCTGCGCTTCAAATTTTTTCTCCTTAACAGGCCTTAAGGCTGTCTTTCTACAAAAAATATTGGTTTGTGAAGGTTAAGCTCTACAGCCATAGGCTGTAGCACGATCAGCCGAATATGTAATGCTAAAAATCACCTTGATTGCATTTTCTGCTGTGGCTTCGTCGAGGGTGACGTACTGTGGTAAAGGTTGTATCTTTTAACTTCTTAAGATAATAAATTTCAGGTCGATGGTAGTGTTAAGTCACGCATATAGCAGCATATGGTATGGGCTATATCAACAGTCAGGATCTTTAAGGGTTTTTTGTTATCAAAAACGCTTTCTGTTCGCTAACCTGATAGTGTAGCTGTATCGCATACTTTACGTTCACATAAAATAAATGCTGTATGAGCTAGAAATTGTAGCATGGTGTACGTCATTCTTCGAAACGATTAACATGGCACTTTTGCCTGTCACACCGATGTTCTTCCTCAGGCGTTTAACAACTTTTATTCCATACATAAACTATAAAAAAGACTTCACGATTGTCGTGATGGCTACACAAATACCAGAATTTGCGGATGAATTCCTACCGTTGTACAAATCACAAATTAATGTTTGGCGTAAAAAAGCTCTGTACCCGTGTGTTGATTAAAGTATAATCCATTACACTGATGACGGGTGGAAGCATCAGACGTAACCCCACACCACAAGAGTGTGGAGAGGATCGCAAACAGCGAATCGGAAATCGGCATGTTGACTGCCAAACGGGAGCTATATATAGTATAGTGAAGTCATTGTATACTTCTTTATTACCCTTACTAAAACTGTATTGATGTACATACCAGCATGTTGCCACCTCATAATTACCAGACATTGCGTGCATATGGCCTTCACGTTGACTTTATCGGCTGACAGTACGGTTTATATCATCTATGGGTAGTATATGCACCTACTACGAAGCACATTACCATTCATTCTAGTATTCTTGGATACTATTCGCTATTGTAATAGTGCTGGATTTAATCTGCTACGGTAATATATACGCTGATAGTTGTGTCACATACCAGTATATGTTATAGCCCCTATCGATTAAAGTTCCATTCTCTTTTGATGAATTGCAAAGCGATTCGGTATCGTAAATAAATGATATCATATCTATGTGCGACCAGACGCCCTCTATAAATGTAAATTTACTGTGTCAGATGTCATTTAGAAGGGCCGTCAAAAATAGGTGCTGAATAAATCTAAGAAGTAAATGTATGACGAAATCTAATGCTACGATAATATTTAAACATGTTTTAAGGAGGAGTGTAACATTTCGAGAATACTATCTAATGATACTAAGTGAGCATCCATGGGTAGCAAGTAGTCGATAAGTGCACGTGACACAGTATAGACCATTACATTGGCTAGAATGGCACAATCTGTGACTGAAGCGTTCAGCTGATGGTCATCAGAGATTATTCATAAGAATTTTGGTTGTAAAATATAAGGAGGTCTATAAAACATTTTGCATACATTCTTTCACTACACGACTGCAGCCAAATTCTTACCCAGCCGAGCATCATGGCTTCTTCTGTCCGGAAAATAGCACACAAAATGTACATTAAGCTTGAATGGACATATCTGCACTTTGTGCAGCGCATCTGGCAAGTGCGAGGTGGGCGAAAGCTGACCATGCCCCAACTCATTTGCAGCAAAACAGGACGCGATATAACATACTCTACCAATGATACAACGATTGCGGCATTACGAAAAACCTGGCTTTGCTGACGGGTGTCCTTAGAGAAACACACCTAGCGAGAAACAGATTTGCATGATGCTCATGTATTCAATTTTATAAAGCCGATCCGCGACTGGTGTAATGTTTCGATCAATATATAATAAAGAAAGAGTCGTGATAATAGTAAAAAAAGATAAATTTACGGGCCTTCAAGAATTTAAAGTTTTTACTTGCTTTGATGTCGCTGAACTAACTTGTAGCTGTCTGTGTGATCAAGTTTCAACGAAAACGTATAAGATCAGGTGATGGTGCAATAGTTGGCTCCAGGTCCGCTCTCATATTACATCCCTCAAATTTTCTTGATCCTATTTATCTCTATCGCACTGAAATGGCAAGTTTCTTGTTCAGCGTTCCGCGTAGTCATTGTAAATGAGAATGGCGGCGGCGTTCGTTTAGGTCCAGTCAGTTAGGTGCGTAAGAGTCCAGGCAGATAAGTAAGTGGAAGTGAGCAAAATAGCTTTGCGTACGTTTTTGATCTATCCCCGTTTGCTAAAAATTTCGGCACATAATTTATCTTGCGACGGTGAGGGTAGTTAATAATCACGAGTACACCGACACGAATGGATAGAAGATTTATTTGTCTTTTTTCGTACAAGCGGCTACATCTAGACACTAATCGAAAAATAGGTATGTAGCGGATCATTGTAAATATCGAAGACATTATCGTCTATCGCGGCATGGGCACAGCGCCCGACTACATGACGCTTTGAAGAAGAGGTAAAGTCACTACGTATGATATTTACATGAGAAATACCTTGTCTATATCCGGGAACACACGTACCTAGTAAGTGTCGATTAAATATAGAGCTCGTCGTGTGCTGGATGAATTTGATTATAAGTGGAGACGCCTATTATGTTTAGAACGGGTGACTTCAATTCGATCAGTCCTTTGCCTTTTTTAATTACCACACTACATTCAATCACTCATGCTTCTCGAAATAATTTAGCCTCCTTCCCTCCCATGCATACGATTTAAACGATCAGCAGTCATTGATTTTGGTGCCTTCCAGTTTATGCCATCTTGTACATTGCATTGCGGATGCTACACAACTTCGCAAAAACATAATACTTTTTACTTATCTACCAACAGAGGCAGTGGTTCGGCACGACTTGGAATCCCAACTTACGCGGGTATGGAAGTTTATTTCACAGCTCTTGTTGTTGTATAATATATCAATCAAAATTGGGAGAACGGAATTTCAAGTCGATTTTGATGTATAATTGTATGCGTGTCTCAACCATTTTGGATCTTTTTCGAGAAAACCGAATGGAAGATTAACACGGCGTACAAAGCATCATTTTTTGTTGCAGGATTTACGAATGGGAGATAATACGGTTAACACATAGCATAAAATGCGGTAGCTCTGCATTCTGCTGATACACGGCAAACGGTAGTCATCTTGCTCGAGCTTGGTACGATTGAAAATAGAATCCAAAGCAGAGGCGATCTTTTCGGTGCTCAAAGAAGGGTACACCAGTTACGAATTTGCAACATCGATAGCAGCCAGAAGCCTAACTTGGTAACAAAAAATTTCGGGCTGCTATCGATTTAACAAGTTGATGAATGATGTACTATTTATGAATGAGCGCACAAAGAGTCGCAACATTAGCGGTGAGGAGCCCATATACGCAGTTCCAAAATTCTGTTAGGAGAAAGGCTTATCAAACTGTGCGCGTACACGAGCCCATCATGTGTTTAATGAGTCCTGCGAGAAATATATGTTGGCTGCACATTCTTTAAATGCAGCCATGAGACGGTGGAAATTGCGGCACATGTAAAGTAGATTTGCTCACCGTGGTTGTCATTTTTAGTCGGCCTAGATCGCACTAGCTACTTGGTTATACAAGACGAACAGCGATGAGCAGCGACATGGAAATGAGGACATTTGTTGCAGGCAAGTCACCATTTGGCCCACAGATCTCATTTAAGTGACCATGCGAATTGTATGTAGAACAGTAGAATATCAAGACGTGTGCAATTTGCGGCAAGATATGGCTCTGAGATCGATAGTTTATTATAGCATACAGATTAGCGCTACCATAGCAGATGCAGCTGTTCATATTGTCAATGGCTTTGCGTGTTGCAGTCGGAAGAATTGGCAGGGCGTATTGTGCTCGATCAAAGGTGGCATGTTTCCGCCGACTATAACCTTTATTCACCAGCATGCATACTCCACGATTTGTAATACTGCGTGGTATTTTACCTCTCTTTTTTCAGAAATAAGTGCGCTGCTCCTTTCATAGCGAGAGAACGATTGTACAATGTGCTAGGTATTGCAATAATGTGCTAAAATTTCATCTTGCACGTGATACAAAGTCAAATAGGTGTGGTCCACGCCAAGCTGGAGGGGGGGGGGGGGGGGAGCAAAGAGAATTATTGTCGATCCTATGGCTTTGTCCTCACGCGTTGCCATCATTACCGGTGCAGCATCTGGCCTCGGCCGCGCGACAGCTAATCGACTCGTGCAAAATGGAGCGCGCGTAATTTTATGTGACCTGCCGAGCAGCGAAGGAGTCAACGTCGCAGAAGAACTTGGCAATTCGTGCCGCTTTAGCCCCACCGATGTAAGTGAGTAATGAATCAGCTTTACTAAATGCTTGCTCATGTGGGATAAGGTAACTAATGTGATTGAAGAGTAGGTGACGCGCGAGGAAGACGTAACGGCGGCTCTAGACCTGGCAGAATCGGTCTTTGGTGAGCCCGTGAATACAGCTGTGAATTGTGCCGGTATCGCCCTGTCTATCAAGACACTGAGCAAGAAAGGCGTGCATCCGCTACGCCACTTCCAACGAACTCTTGACGTCAACACGATCGGGACCTTTAACGTCGCTCGCCTTGCAGCCGAACGGTAGGAGTTGAAGGTTATTGGTATTATATCAAGAAACTGAGTCAGAGTCGTTGTCGAATAGCATGTCCAAAGCACAACCCGGGCCTGACGGAGAGCATGGCATTATCATCAATACTGCCAGCATCGCTGCGTATGAGGGGCAAATTGGACAAGTTGCGTACGCCGCTAGCAAAGCAGCCATCGTCGGAATGACGCTTCCTCTTGCGAGAGACTTGTCTCCTCTCGGTATCCGTGTGAATACCATTGCGCCAGGTAATACGAAGAAGTTTGTCAGTTCGTCACTGCGTGCTTGCGTCATAAAGATAACATCACATGTTTACGCTGCAGGTCTGTTCATGACGCCGCTTCTGGCGGGACTTCCTGAGAACGTGCAAAAGGAACTAGGTGACCGCGTTCCATTCCCTAGCCGTTTAGGAAACCCCGAAGAGTACGCTCAGTTGGTACATGCTATCATTGACAATCGAATGATTAACGGTGAAACGATCCGTCTCGACGGCGGGCTTCGCATGCCGCCAAAGTAACAGGAACAGCAGCTCGGCCAGCACAACAGTAAATCAAAGGTTACCTTTGAAGAGCCGCACGAGTAGATGCACGTCCACGTATATCTCATCTTGTCTACTACCCACAAATCAATTAGCCTCACGATTGTATTGTATTTTGTGCACGGATGCATGGACAGCTCAACGTCGAAACTCTTTCGGCCATCTGTCTTGTCCGACTTGGGTGTAAGTCGTTGGGAACTTATTGCAGTCGTTTTTACAATTACATGCACAAATTGACCCCGACGCAGTGTACCAGTACAAAATGGTAAATTACCGACAGCTATATTTTGGAAATGTAAGTTACACAAAGCCCGTATATTTTGCGATGGAACGGTAAAATACGTATCATTATATTGTTTTGTCAACGGTTTTGTAAACCCCTCATGTGTGATCTTAAATCGTGTCGCACGGTTCTAGTTGCATCGTGCCGTTCGTTAACGGGAAGGCAAAAATACAAGATGGTCACTATGGTAGAGACACAGACCGTACCTAATCGGACGCAGATTGTTGTAAATATTGCAACTAATCACAAACTTCATCATGATTTGACCTAAGAAAGCCGTCGCAAGTACTGACAAAATATGGCTGGGTGTAGAGTTAGGAGGGCGGCCATAAGACACAAATAGAATGCATGGAGAATGTACGACAAAGATGAAAAAGGAAATGTGTAAACAACAGCCAAGTGTTGCCTATGAAGTCCATGGACTGCGGTGAAGGCTCGATTGAGGTCGCCGCTTCCCATATCAGTTATTTCTCGATTCTTCACTACCTCTACCTCCTATGTAGTCGAACATTCGTGATCACGTTGTCATCTCAACGCCCCTTTCTACAGTCCCCTTCCAATGGCAACATAGTATCCTATACCAAGTCTACAGATCGTCCATATCGCTGCTCTCCTTTGGATGCGCAGGCGTATTTACAAATATAATCGCGTGGTTTCGTCACGATCATTTGTGGGACAGATAATGCAATAGCTTCCAGATCACATTATTGAATTTTCCAAAATATAGTAAGCATTTCGAGAATCTATTACGGTCGTGGACAATTTTGTCATCGTTGTAATTTCAGTAAGTTGCTCACATTTCTGCTCCATACTTCGCTTCAGCGATAATTTCGCTCAATGCTTTATAAATGTCATCTTTTGTTAATGGTATATTAGAGATTTGCAATAAGTGCTAATGATATACTTTCCAAAAGTGACGCATCAATGCACGGCATAGCTTCGAATTGTTAATATTCGTGAGTGTGAAGGAATGGATGAGCGAATCGCAGTTGTAGTTGTTGTTGTTATTCTTCCTCTTATTGTTGTTGTTGCTGTTAACGAACGTAAACACTTATATGGACAAACTCATGCCAAAACTTACCATGAAATAAACAGCTTTGTTATCAAAGCCGTAGATTATCACCACATGAATCACCACAAGGTAAAAAAGCATTGCAAGATAATGGCACCCATGCCATATGCCATAGGTTCGATCATACACATGGCCAGTATCGTTCTTTGACATCCACGTATGTCTCTTTCAGTACCTCTTATTTCTTTTGTGAAAGACTCTTCATCTATATTCGACATTTTCCATATATAATATATGCGTTGCCGCTATAAGCTTGACCTGATCGTTCGTTTCACCGGTCGGTTTTGCAAGGACCAGTTGCTTCAAGATCTTCTATTTTGTGCTTACGGGATGTCATTGAATGTGGCTGTGACCTAGGAGGAGTTGCTACATTAGCATTAAGTGAAACAGCGCAGTGTCAAACTAGCGCCTGTGGAACGCTATTATGTTGCTTAGAAAACGACTTAAGGCAGCATTGGACCACAACTACGAAAAAATCACAAGAGCGAAAGTTAAGGTGAAAAAAGGAAAATAACGTGTTGGAGCTATTGCGGAATGCCATTTGTATGCTTCCAAATACGCAAAGACAAAAGGCCTGTTTAAAGCTTTTGCTATACTGAAAAAGATAAACATTAGCGTAAATCACAAAAGCTGCTGCCAGTGGTGTGGTTTTTGTGTAATTTTCGAAATTTCTATCGAGGTGCTGTAAGTTAAGATGCAATATCGCCACATTTACAGTGGATGACATTTTCATGCAAATAAGCTTTGTACTTGGTCAGATTTTATACCAGAGTCCTAACACCCAGAATACATGTTTATGCATTGTTAGGTTTCATACCAGAGCTCTTACCCTCACAACTCTAGAATACATGTAGTCTTCATTTTATCTTCGTGAAGTCAAGTGATACGGATCGCATCCGCAATCTGGTACAACCGGTCTTCATGGCTCACATCAAATATGCAGGATAAATACTCATACTTTATAAGCAATGTTCTATACACATGCGGTCTTAATGCGCTAAGATATAGCAATAATGTTCGCATCGAATGATTACTGTATTTTCGGTAATGCGCTCGCCTGTCCACAACTATTATGTGTATAAATTAGGGTATGGTGAAAATAACTACGATCCAAAAACTCCGAACAGAATAAGCTGATATACTTTTTATTTCTCTACGGTATTTTCGTGTGTATCAACGACCACACATCAATGCCTTGAGATTTAAAGCATGAATATGTTTTTGCGTATAGTACACATCATTGGTGCACCTTTATCACTTTCGATACCCGTGTACTGACTGCGCACATATATTGGTCATTGTTATATATTAATTATGTTGAACGCGTTTTGCTACTAGGCGGATGCAAGAACAAGATACTTATCGGACGAAGGCATTACAGATACCAAATCGACGACTAAAGAAGCTTCGGCTATACGCAAAGCCTTTACCGCTTAAGGCGGCTGCAGCGCAAAAAGATCCAACTTCAGAACATGATGGTTATTAATCAAGTTAGTTGTCATTTTGGCAGGCGATTGCTGGCGTCTAGGGATAACACATAAGTATAAACTTTTTACATAGATGTAGTGTAGAACGTGACGAGTTCACGATGTTCGAGGTGAACCGCAAAGCTTGATTTAAATCAGATTTTTACATGTCTATCAGCTATAAATTAACACATCCACGGCACCCAATGCAAAAGTTGCGATCCCACGCGCATTTATCGTTCGCCGAGTACTTCTAAACACACAGTCCAGTTGATGCAGTTGATATAGTATCAGTATATTTAAAATGTGGTAGCATAAGCCCTATATTATTGTTTAATGGAAGGTCATGTGAGTATCACAGCCCTGGCGGCGCGTTACCCGTAGTCGTCGTATGCAATCAAATAAGCAAAATTCAATTATAGATGGTAAAATAAAAAAAATCATTTGCAGCGCCTTCTAGTGCGATTAATGGCGCTGAATATGTGATTAGCCCCATACAACTCCGCGTCTTGAAAAGAAGAAAGATGGTTTATTGACATAATTTGAAGAGACGATTGTTGAACGTCTTTTTATAAGCAATTGCTGGCTGGCGAATTATAAATACGTTGTCGTAGACGCACCACCAAATATCGATAAATTTGGCGGATATCCTAATATTTTGGCAAAACGCACAAGGAAGAGTATTTATTGAACGTTAGTAAAAGGAGATCTGTTTGTCACGGATTCTTTGGAGCTGCCTGACAAAACTTACACCAATATATGTGAACTATTAGACTAAGATTATTGGTGATGCCGACGCTTACTTATTCGAAGCCCCAAAAGTACTGCGAATAGATTATGCGCTAGCAGTACCATTGAGGGTATAATCTATTGCGACTAAAGATGCAGAAATACAATTTAAAAGCAAAGCTTATAACAATCAGTGGTAAATGGTATAGACATAGGAAGGCGTGATTTAATATGGAATCTACATTAGCGCTAGAAACGTGTGTATGAATATGAAGTATGTAGCTAACTGCACCAAGAATTCACGTGTGTGTAGGATAGACGTTATCATATGTTGATGGTAGAATGTATCAGCATGCAATAACCAATTCATAATGGGTGTGCACCTGTAGTGCAACATCTATGCAGTATAAAGGTATACAGCACTCGGACTTCCCTGGTGGTCACCCACCCGAGTACTACCCGAGCTTGAGGCAGCTTAACTTCTCAATCGAACGAATGATACATGAATTCAATGAAATCTATTTAGAAGAGATAAATACTCCTTGTATATAATAAATCTGACCCTTTGTTTATGTTTCAACTTGTTAAGCATCTTAAGTGCCAAATCACTGATGCACCGATCAGGGCGGTGCGGTGGGATGGCCACGGAGCTTCTGACCGGGAGGTTACGGGTTCGAGTCCCAGCAGCTGGACAACTCCATCCAGTCTAGGATCGAATGCATAGCCGCGCCACCGACTGGGCTCTTAAATGGGTCGCAGCCGGTAGGCAATGTGAAGCAAGCGTGCAAAAATGTCCTCCACGGAGTCGCGAATCCTGTAAGTAACTGATCGCAGGTATCTGGGAGTTGAGGACCGTAAGCGAAACTTCCTGGGTAGAAAGAAACTACCAATTTACTGCATGCAAATTCCCGCTTGTACTATAAGCTCTGTACTATAGCACACGGAGATTCTTTCTACTCTACTGCCTACGAACGTCCGTCTGTAAAACGTGAATACTAATATGGCGCGATATATCTGCCACAAAATATTGAGTTTTTCTTCAATACACCTCCACAGTACCCCAGCTAAGAGCTAGTTCGCATGCCTTTTATCTATGGCCGTATTTTCTTCCTTTTGCACGACAAATTATTTTTCCTGAGTCGAACAACGTGTAGATAGAAAGGATATATATACAATGCAGCAAATAAGCACGAAAATAAAACACAGCATATATAAAGAGGAAATGAACTATGAGACGATATACTTTGTTAGCGCAGTATTTGATGAAAATTACTGTACTACTAGATAAAAAATTACTAAACAATGTGAACATGTGTATGCATAACTTGCACGACTCATGCGTTCAGATCACTCACACATTCAAATATTGTACTCTAATCAGTGCTTTCAATGGTTTAAATGAGCATTGTCGCAAAAAAATTAAAGAAAG